TAATAAATACTATATATATATACCCATATGTATATGTTATTCTGCCTCTCCAAAAGTACAAAGTGCATATTCCAGTCTTTTAATTTCTTACCTGCTGGAAGACCCCACTTCAGATTTCTAATTAACTGACAATTATATGGAGCCCAGAAGGAATATAAATGACTGAAGTTTTTAAGGAATCTGAGGTCAAAGATCTCTCTTTCATTTCCATATTTCGGCTTATAGTTCTTTTTTTATTGGTAAATATCTCTTAAATCATCGGTGAGTTAGGCAGGATTTTGGTTTATTCTTCATCTTATCAATTTCGAGTTACGAGAATATGAAGGTTTAATTTCCCACAAAATTCCTATTCTTTATATAGATAATTGTAATATACCATGACCGGAATGAAAAGTTAGACTTTTGATATTGAAAGAAAAGATAATGATTGTCATACTTTCTAGTTCAATGCCATTTACCATATATATTAAATGATTATTATTTTTATCTCAATGAGGTAGTTCAATAATTAAGAATCTAATATTACAAGTTGAAAATTTCAAGTTCAAGTCTTAAATAGGGTGAAAAGAAATTTGAAAATAAAGAAAAGTTATCCCCTCTTGTATAATTTATAATCGGATATACTAAAAAAAAGTAATTATTATTTCTATATTTAAATTTAAGAAAAGAAAATTTTCAAATGCGAATTTTAATAATTAAACTAATAAATGTAAGAGAATATGTTAAATAAAAAAACATACCAATCTTTTTTTAAAAAGAAAACTCCAGAAAGTAAAAAATCCCTTTAGAGATGCTCTACCATCTTTGAAGTGGCTAGGGATAAAAATTTGTAGGTACAAACTCAATCCTTTGGTTAATGGTGTTCTCAGTGGAGCACCATTTACTGTGCTTCATCACAAAAGGATAATACACTTTTATTGCAACAAAAGCTTTCAAATATCAGAGAAGTTGTAAAACAACTCATCCACATTACATACATGTCACCCATCAACACTACATATATATAGTATCCAGACTCGACTAGTCCTATGCATACCTGCAAACTAAAGTTTGCTTATTATTTGGGGAATATCGCCCGCCCCAACTCAAATGCAGATCCAATTTTATAGATGAGTTTTATTTTAGGCATAGGATTTAGCAGATGATAAATCAAAGACGCTTGCGATCAGGTCCTCCTGGAGTCGTTCTTGTGAACTCCTCAAAAGGCTTTCCTTCCTGTCTCTTCATGCTTTCTTTCAACACTAATTCAGCTACCTCCATCGAAGAATGCATTTTGGTCACCCCGCCTGAAATTTCCTTGGAACTGTGATGTTGCCCCTCGGAGAATAACGCCTGATTCCTCGTTGGAAATGGAAAAATGGGGCGAGATTCAGAACCCGAAAATGAAACAAAAAGGATTAGGAGAAAACATAGCCCAAAACTATAGTTAGTAGCCATTTTTCTCATACATATGGCCATTGGTATTGTGCTATATATATAGAGAACCTCATGCCATAATATTCTTTTCCTACTATTAAAATTTGGTCACATGGAGCACACTCTTTTTGTTATGGATCACCTTTTTTATGTTCAATACATCAAAGTCAAGCATAGATTAACCGACTTCTAATCTTTATTTTCAAACTTTTTGACCTTCTATTATGATTATGCTCTCTCCTCCTTTTTTTTCCCTTCTCTATCCCTTATCAAATGTGAAACCTCAAAGCACACGCGCAAAAAACAAAAAAAAAAAAGGGAAGAAGAATAAGAGAGAGTTTGCATCTAATTCTCATACCAACAAGTGGCACTCCTAAAAGTGGTTCAATTATTAGTTAAGAGTCATGAGTCATGGGGTGAGGAAAGAATTTGGAAAAATGGGAGGAATTAAGCACCGAATTAATTTCCCATGAGGCCATGACCTTAGCACCCAATTTAAAGCCAAAGAAAGAAAGAAAGCACCCATATGGAATCAGTATTTAGTGCAAAAGCTAAAAGTTAATTTGGTATATGGCGCTGGGAATTGAATTTCCTTTGGAAAGGGGAAGATCAATCTACCCATTTCCTCAATCAGATTCTTTTTTTCTTGAGTTCCATGTAACTCCAATTGGAAAAGTGGACGAATCCACTTAGCTTGCCCTTGTTTCTTTTAAAAAAAAAAAAAAATTAGATTGCACAAGGGTATAATATAAACTCTCTCATCTTTAAATTTGCTCTACAACTTGAACCTACGGCCATTTATTTAAAAAAAAAAAGAAAAAAAAGAAATCATACCATTAAACCACTTAAGTCATTAAGTCAAAAATTACTCTAATAAATTCTCTTCGCAGCACCCAAAAAAAGAAAAAGAAAAACATTTTGACAGATCCAATCAGTTACTTAACTTCTCGAGATAAAAAAAAAAAAAAACGAAAAACACAACACATATATTAGTTTACTAGTGTCCACAACCCTCATGCTTGTGTTACACCAACTTTCCACATCAATAATGATGTGAGCGGCAAATAAGAAGAGAGAAACATAATGTGTTGGAGACGTCATACAATAAGAGATAAACTTTCAAATTCAATTTAAGTTCATTTTAAGCCTCCATTTAATTTCTCAAATTTGTCTACACATCCTTCTTAGTTTAATTATGAAACTTTTAAGTTAGAATTTCAAGTGCTTATTAAGAGGCAAAAATTCTTTGGATACAAAGACAAATATCTTCTAGTTTAAAACACTTTACAATACATTCATTGAAAAATTATTATTTTTGAATTTGAATTAAAGGTAGGAAACTTAAAGTTGCAAATTTGAATAACTGAACTGGTGGGTGTCAGTGGATGTATTGAATCGAAAGATGTACGAATAATTTTCTAAATTCTTTACAATGATATCAAAGAACAAGTTTTCATTGCCTTTTTTTTTTTTCAACATACCACCATAGTTTAATTACTTGTTATGAATGGTATTATTGCCACACATAAAGTGTTAATTTCACTTTAAAATGCAGCTCTTTAACTTTTATATTCCTTTAATGAAAAGTTCTTTGAAATATCATTTTCATTTACTCATTGTTGACAATCACTTAAATTTCAAAAATTAAATTTGAAAATTAATTATGTATAAAAATTAAGAAAAGTGATTCACCACCTATCCAAATTATGAGGTGTGGTAAGTTACTTAAAATGGATAGGTGCAGAAATCAAAGTTCAAGGGTTCATTTAGGAGAGAGAAAGGGTACACACTCAACTCACAATCATCTCTATGTATATGAAATATAGCTTTCTTCTTTAAATTTGAGGATTTAATTCAGCTTATTTTAAATAGAAAGACCTAACTAAGTTAAAATAAAAGCTTGGGGATGTAATTGAAACCATTTAAAGTTTTTAGAGCAAATTGTAATATATGAAAAACATGCATGCATAATTAAAATAACTTTGATAATAGAGGACTAAATGATTAAACAGATCAAAAAAATTGCGGAATAAATCAGAGATAATTTAAAGTAGTGTGATAATAACACTTCGGTGTAACAGCAACACCACTAGCTGGCTATGATTTCTTCTTTCCTTACTCTTATTAGTCTAGAGTAGGTTATGATTGATAAGTAACTGATTTCCAACTCTCACAAACAATGTCAATTTCAGTATCATGGTATTGCATCTTGGCAGAACATATCGCTTTCTTTAACTTGTAAACGTTAATATTTTTTCTTTAAAAGAATACTTGCCGAGAAAGTTTGTGTGAAAATCGTGCATGTGGGCTCAATACAAGACTTGCATTCAACCTAAAACCAATTGACAATAAGTTGCTTTAGGAAATCTGATCACTCCTTTTGTTAAGTCAAAATCACAATAAGCAGATCTATTTACTAAACCTTTGCCTAGAAACTGCTTCAAATAGTTATGTGTCAAACTTGGCCTTTGCTTTATGCCACGGCCTAGTTTGAGGGGGAGTATTGAAGAACAAACCAAGTGCAGCAATCAAGCAAATCCAGGCTGGAAGATTGAAGAGATTCAAGGACATAAGCATCAGGAGAAAATCAAGGAGAGCAATATCAGGGAAGATATCATTCAAGTTAGCAACGGTAAAGAAGTTAGTCAAGCTCCTAAAAATGAGGGAAATATGGAGACTAACAGAGTAATTCCAGAGAGAATTGAAACTGAAATAAAAGGAAAGAATCCCATAATAATCCCAATGTGACCGTTGGCCACTAAATGTATTCTGCATTCTTTGTATCTGGTATCTGGTATTGATAGCCATATGTTTTCTGCATTATTTGTATCTGGTATCTGGTTTTGATAGCAATGATTCCTAAAATCATGCCACAATGTAAGGTGCTGTAAAATATTATAAATAGTAGAAATATATCTTTCTCTCCTCACCTAGAGAGAAACTTTCATTGATTCTGGTTCTATAAACGTTTTTAGTTTGCTCCTACTTTATATGTCATAATTTGTCACAACTAATCTTACGTATACCGTCCACAAAAATATTATTGCCATCCTCTGCTTCCTTGTTATAAAGGGAGCATTTTGTTGCATTTGTATCAACTATGGTTCCTCTCTTTGTCAAATTCACCTTGTTTGAAACGCAACCCTGAATCAGCTTCTAGTTAAATGTGCAAACCTTGCTTGGCGTGAACATGATCTAGACATCACCTGCTACCTGGTCTGAGAGTAGAGAGTAGCCTAGCCTGACGGTATATTTTCCATCCTTTAAATTTCTGTGTCCCCACTTTCATTCTTGTTGTTTTCCTTGGCGAAAGGTGACTGAATCTAGCTAGCTTAGCAGCATTTCCAATTGGTTTTCCTCCCAAGCAAATAGCCTACGCCTCCATTACAGGTTCCAGGCCAATGCACCATTGGTCCACATGCCCATGCTCAACCAATTTTCTACCAAGAAACACAGCACTTGACTTTCTTCTCTTCCCTAAAACTAAACTTAAAACCATCCCACCAACCAGTCTTCCTTTACTACATGCTCCAAATCACACAAACTACTAACGTCGTGTCTCCAAAACATTTAAAAAAAAAAGAGGATAATTATTCCTTTTATTCTAAAATAATAATTATTTTTTTACTTTGAATTTGTCTTAGATTAACTACCACTTTTTTATTTTTTTAAACTAGACAAACATTTTTTTCTTGCTCTCCATTTACAATAATTAATCATCCTCTGGTAAAAAATCTATCTTTAAAACTTTTATCCTTTTTTTAAGGGTATTAATGGTAAAAAAATAAATTGTTTCGAAATCTTTAATTTGATAAAACAAAAAATACATCTATTTTGGGAGAGAATGTAATCAATTAGACAAGGAAAATTAATTACAAAAAAATTTATTCAGATGACACAAACCTTTTTATTACTATAATAAAATCATTATTTCAATATGTTACCAAAACATGTTACAAGCCCTCATACATTAACTTACCAAATTAAGTTAATTACAAAATTTGGGGATACAAAATGGAAAAAAGTTAATATATATGAAATCTACTACTGCAAGTATATTAATAGTGCCCTCTAATACCACGCTATCAACTATTCAAAAGTTTGTCTAATTTGTACTTTTAAAAGTGTAATAAATATATTTTTTATAACAAATCTATATTAAAATATAAAAGTTGATTTTTAATTTATCAATTGTTTAATTCAATTAATTCACTTGATACCAACACTAAATATAATGTCAACTTTTATAATTTTTTATAAATATTTATGACAAAAAAATCAGTTACAAAAACCCAATATTCAAAACCATCTCATGAATTCAAATTAAATGGCTCTGAAATGGATGGTTCTGTTTTTTGGGTTCTCTCTTCAATTATTTTTCATGTTTTCTGTAAGTTTCTCCCTCTTGTTAGATGTTTTTCTATTCCTTTACATGTGTATATGTGTGCACTCGTACAATGGTTAATTTATAACAATGTCTTTTTTTGTACATTTTGGGTAAATGATTGTGATCCTGCTAGGAAAATTCCTTTGAGCAAGCCTCCGAGACCACCAACAAGCACTGGTAAAGACCCAGGAATTAACCCATTTTCCCGGCCCCACCGTCTTAGTTAAAACTGTAAATATTTTTTCACAATTGTGCTTGTATCTCCATAAGTAAATTGCACATTCATTGTACCAAGAGGAACAAAGTCTATTAAGGATGGATAGTCTTCTAAAAAGTTGTCTTTTTTGTTTTGCATGATAGGAAGGTGATGCTATGTCAAAGCCTCCATATCCACCACCTTGCACCAGGGGGGGTCCTCAGATTTCAACTCCACCAGCACCGCCGCGTAAAAGTTGGCCTCGTCTAGAAACAACCGCAGTAAATTTCTTACTCAATGATCAATGCATATCAAGCTTCTTCAATGTATAGAATCGTTGGTTATCATTTCCTTGGAAAATAATAATTTGTTAGCCAGATTGAAATAAATTACGTGAATGTAAGTCTTAAAGAAGTTAAAGAAATATTTGCAGAAAAAATTTGTCTGATACATTTCTGAACCTCTGATACTAAAAATCCAACAAGAACACTATGGTTTTTGTAGCAATGATCTACCGTCTATGTATAACTAGGTAATAACTAATCAGGTAGCAAGGGTAACCTGTCCACACTGTATGTTGAGCCATTTGTGCCATGGTAGTCAAAATCATCAACATCACTATCGTCATCAACATTCTCACTGGTGTTGTCTTCCTCCATTGTAGTATGAAATGGGACAATGCGTAGATGTCCATCCGACCCTTTGCCAATTCTCTCTGACTGTAATTGGTATCTCTTTACAAGATCCATTTGAAGTGAGATGATGTGGGATGGCCTTGGCAGTAACTCCACAGCTTCCCCTTTTGGGATTACTACCTGCTCGATGGCTACTCTTGCCTCCTGGAAGGCAGATACCAATTTTACATAATGGAATTGCAAGCGAATGAATTAAGCTAATAAGATCTTAAAACTGGAAAGTGCAACTAGACTCGAATGCAACGTGTGTGGCCTCTTAGACGTTGTTGTGCTGGTGCAAGCTATGATACATAAGCCTAAATTCTGTACATAGATAAAAAAACAAATAAGCACTAGAATGACGTATGTTTTTACCTCAAGGGCATCGACCTTCTCAGACATTTTTATATTATCTTCTGATCCAAAGTCCTTCACATCTTCTTGGTCATTTATTATTGACCTTAAGACTTTTGATATCTGCATCAATGAGCTTGTCTACAAAGGAAAGAGAAAATTAATGGTAAAAAATATGACGAATGGGAATGTAAAACTGAATCTGACTAAGAAATTGCCGTTCACCTTTGTCACATAAATTGGTATGTTTTGAGACTTAGCTGCAGCTTGAATCTCGGGATTCTTCTTCAGCTTGGATTGCAAAGCAAACAATGCATCTGCCTCGCTGATATTATCAGTTAATTGAACTGCAGCATCCATCTCCAACTTTTTAATTCCTTGTACCACGGTTGCTTCAGGGACCTAGAACAACTGATTGTTCTGTAAGTTCCATTTCCAATTTCCAATTCCAATAGTTTCTTATCATGAAGGTGCTGACAGTCAGAACCAATGAGCTTTAAGCCAAGCATTGCTCTGGTTTCAGATTATTTTTTACAATAAACAAAATAATCCTTTGAGAATTGTTAGAGAGGATTCAAAAGAATTATTAGAGCAACCACTACAGCACATTGAATACTATGCTGTTTGTTTCCTAGAAAAACAAGAAGCCTCTTCTTTCCTATACATCTAACTTTCTAAAGAATTTGTTTCCAATAAATTTTTGCATTTTCCCTTGCCTATTTAAACTAGTGACTATTTTCAGATGAGGTAGGCTGTTCTGAACAGAAGTGATAGGAAAGACTAAAATACAACATAAACGGAAATGCTTTACAAGTTCAAGTGACAGGGTAGAAGAACGGCCTGATGCCTAAATAATCACATATGATATCAAAAATGAGAATTGCGTGGCACATAGCATGTAAGAACTGTCAGAAGAAAAACAATATCTCATAGTGAGGGGAAGTACATAGAAGTAGAACTCCATGTTGGGAATTTTATCTTGTTATGAAGACCAAGTTCCTAACATACTTAGATGGCTTACTAAACCTAAAGCTTTTAAGTAAGCACCTTGGTAATATCAAATTCAAGTTAAAAAAAAAAAATGTAATCATAACATCGAATGCCACATAAACAATTACTATTGTGACCATAAATCAAAATGGCAAGGTATCATATCTTACCCCATAAATCAAAATGGCAAGGTATCATATCTTACCCCATAAATCAAAATGGCAAGGTATCATATCTTACCCCATAAACAAACAAATGGAGCGGAACACTGCCTTCCGATGAATTTTCACCAATGCTCTGAAACTCGGGAGAGAACTTGCTAAGGCCAGTTCTTTCACTGCTCACCTCTATAACAACTCCAGAAACTAATTCATCCCTTTTCTCAGAGTTGATATCAATAGAAGTTTCCGCTGATATGGTCTCTTCCAGCCCATCAGAGTTTATCTTTCGAATTTCAACATTTGGAGAACGACCTTCATCAATGCAAGTAACATGTTCAAGACTTCTAAAATTCTTTTGTTGGGGGAGCGGGGAGCAGGGTATGTACTGAATAAAAAATGAATGTTACCTGCAAGAACAGCATCAACTGTTGCTTCAAGACTACGATGAACCCGCAACTCAGTTTTTGAGATAATCTCTACCCCGCAGTTAAATGTTGAAGGTCCTTTCCTCTCTAGCACTGTCTTCTGAACACCCCGGCGATTTGCTTCTTCATCTCCTAGAGTCACACTCTGAAATTTTATTAAAACAATAAAAATAAGAAGAGTTGTCATTCTTTTATCAAACACCACACATTAAGTTAATTCAAGAAGAAATTTCCAAAATTGCAAATGCAGAAAATTCCCTCATTGATGACAGTGAGGAAGAAGAATTGCAGGTAAACAACAAAACTAAAAGCAGAAAAATAGATTTAAAACCAGGACACAAAAATCATCTTAGAAAATTGTTTACTATTAAGTTATACCTGATGTTTGAAACTAGGATTTAGGGTGGGCCTTTGTAAACAAAATTCATGTGATGCTAATGGCTCCCTCTTACAACGTTTCTTTAACAACACTCAGAAACCTTTTATTGAAAAAAAAAATGTCTATTTAATAAAGAAAGGGAAGTTACATGGAAAGGTGAGGCATCATGAAGATTAAGCACACGGTAGTAACTTGGCATTTGAGACTTTGTAGAACCTCGGTGCTTATGACTTAAGAGGTCATATAAACTTTGTTGGGTAGAATTAACAATATAAATCTTAAAAGTAGTTGAAATCTTTATCATTTTTGATGCTATAAAATGAGAGAACCACAAATTTACATGTGTTAATTTTAATACTTTCTTTAATGAGATTATTTTAAGCATTTAAATCATATAGTTCATGAACAATATAAATATTAATAATAATTTGTAGTATTAGTATGTATCTATTGATCATGCTCACATCAGAAGTTGCTCTTGGTCCAGTCTGACCCAGGTCAAATGACTTAACCCTTGTCCTCTCCCACAAGTGCTAGATTGCCAGTTGAACTAACAACCTTGATCAGTCATGTATTAGGATAAGAGAGCATGAAACCTTGTATATGTTCTAAATAAATATAACAATTATACACACTGGTATGACATTATTATCTCACCTGTATGCCTCCAACAAGCATCTCTAAGGAAGGGTTCACAATCAAATTCTCTATTGTTACTCCATGTGCAGTGGCAACTAGTTGGATTCCGCGTTGTGCAATTGTGCTTGCAGCCATCGCCTCAAGTTTTGTGCCAATTTCATCAATCACAATCACCTGTGGCATATGATTTTCAACTGCTTCTATCAACACCTGAAACACATTAAATTATGAACATGAAGCAAAAGTGAACCAAACTAAAGAATAAATTAAGTGGCTTGTGGTAAGTCAATGACTTCAGTCAGTTTATGTTTGGAGCACATTGGTGGTGGAACATGTCATGTGACAACACAGTTTCTTGATCTCTAAAGGGGTCTTAACTAAATGCAAACTTAAAAAGGAAATAGACTTAACCTATAACTCTTTTTAAAGATATACCAAAAAAACCAAAAAATGAAAAACAATCAGCAAGAGGGTATGCTCAAATTTGTTGAGCACCTGATACTGCATGTCTGCATCCTATCTTGCATAGTTGCATGATATATAACAAAACTCTATCTCACAGAAAGGGTCTTTTAATCTCCTATCAATGATACGATCAATATGCCATGATTAACTGAAAAGAGGAGAAGGCATCCTCTGTTTCCAGTCCATACCTTATGTTGCCTATCAGAATCAGGGACTTGCATTCGCCGAGCATTACCTATCCCAGCATGAGGTATATCACCATCACCACCTATCTCATTGGAGGTATCAACAATCATCACACGTTTCTTGTAATCATTTGCAAGCATCCTAGCTATATCTCTGTGAATTTTGAGAATTTTTGATCATGCAACAATTGAGAGACACATCCATGAGTTACCAGAAATACATCTTTGGAACAACACAAACGAAAAAGAAACTATAAAATGTAGAATCTTTTAGGCTTTTGTTATAAGAGCACATAAAAATCACATGACTTGAATGGAAAACAGATTCACCAATACACTACAAGTATAAAACCTAAAACTAGATGCTAAACCAGCATAATCAATTTTAGCATCAGAGCAAAACGTACATGACTTGAATGAGAGATATAAGTAGCCATGAGTTCTTTAGCAGTATGCAACTTCTTTTTACTTTGGGAAACTGATAAAAAGCTTCACAAATTACAAAATTCAAACAAACAAAACAAGACACATACTGCAAGAAGTTCCATTAAAGAATTTAAGAACCATTGTCTTCCACAAAATTGTAAAAGACTCCAGCTAACAATGAGCTTATGCTTTAGAGATGGCCATTAAAGCAAACACAAAAAATAGGATTATTTTTAATTTATACTCCTGACCTTTAATTGAGTGAGATAATAACTTGGCACCAACTTTTTTGACTTATTCAAAGAACTTAGAAGATCCTATCAAGAGACTTAACTGGTAATTTAAAATTTACATTTAAATTTAAATATGTTTGATCACGAATATGATTCAGTAAGAAATGAGAAAGAAACAATGGAAAAGGAAGTGCTAATCATGCAAGTTTATCAAGAGTATCAGAGTTCAGAGATAGAAACAACAAACCTGATAATTGTAGTTTTTCCAACACCTGGAGGACCAATAAGCAGCAAAGAAGCCCCATTTTGAACCAAATCTCTCAACAAATCGGCGCTTCCAGATATTGCTCGACCAACACGACAAGTCAAGCCAATTATTTTGCCTCTTCGATTCCTGATTGCACTAATGCGGTGCAATGTTCTACTAATGCCTGCTCTATTATCAATGGCAAAGTCACCAACCTGAAATACATATTTCTAGATCTCTCAGCAACAACCATGATTACTCCAACTCCAGTGATCCAAATAAAAAGGATAATCATTTCTCTTCAAGACAATGAAAAGTTAGAATTCCTCATGACTTGGATAAACTCATGTTTATGTATCTGAGCAATTACAACTTCCCTCTATGAAGCATTTAATCAAACACTTGCGTTCAAAAACCAAAAAACCAAATGATTCACCTGAGAAGTAGCATGGTCAAGGTCCTGAACCGTGATTGGTGAATCCGACAAAATAAAGTCCCCAGATGGAAATCTAGCCAAGGGTTTTCTCCCCAAATCCATAACCACCTCAATCAAGTCCCGGAGCTCCGGATGCTCACTGACCCTCCTCTGCATCTCCTTCGGCAACAGCACCAGAAGACGCCCCAACTCCACATCGAACTCATCCTCTACCGACCCAGAAGGCAGCGATGAACTCAAGCAAGAAGAGGAAAGCTCGAATTTTGCCGGGTACCCAGAAAAATTGTGGGTGAGAAAGCGGAGAGGGAGTGGGTTTTGAGAGAAATTGAGGGATGGGAAATGGGTTTTGGTGGGTATGGAGAGTAGAGTATGATGGTTGAATTGCTTTGGTAAAGGAGGTGGGTAGCGAATCAAAGAGAAACAGAGCATCTGTTAGCTTTTAAGATTCTTGTTTGGCGGGAAAATTAGGTTTTGGGAAATTTGGTTCTTGAATTGAAGAGAGACAAAGTTCTTGAGGTGGATAAGCTGCTTTCATGAATTTGTTGATTATGGGGGTTTTTTTTTTTTTTTTTTTTTGGAGTTTTTTGTGATTTTAAAAGGGTACAAAGAAAGAGAGTTCCACTGTTCCAGCCACACATTTTCGCGAATTATTAGCTTGGAAGGAATTATTCCACATATGTTTTTTTGTGAATTATTCCATGAAAGAGACTTCTTGAAATTTAAGTGTGTTTTTATTATTCAAGTAATATTTTCTTCAGAGAAAGTAGTTTTGAAATTTAGTTTATGTTCAATCAATTGCTTGTAAACTAGTGACCATTGATAGAGAGATATCATTTTATAATTTGTGCATTTATCAATAGTTATTAAATTTTATATTAATTCTTTAATGACTCTGTAGTAGACATAAAAATATTTTAGTTGTAATGTAAAATATTTAATTGAGGATGGTGAAGAGATAAGGGAGAATTTACTTTTATTTTAAGAAAAATAAAAATTAAAACGTGAAAAGCTTATGAAATTATTTAAATACTTAATTTGTTTTTATATGTTAATTTATTAAGAAAATTTAAATTTTTTTACAAATAATTTAATATCTAAATACAAGAACAACTTGATTTTTCGCAACTCTCTTTCTATATATGTATACCAAATTTGAAACATTGAGAAATGGTGTGGAAAAGACATAGACTTTCACAACTTTACCAAACAGGGATAGTAGCTTTTTCGATTATTAAACAAGGCTACAAATTTTCAAAAGTTACCATCCAAGGATAAAAACTCTGCAATTTTACTAGGGAATGATTAAGTGGATATTGAACAAGCTTTATGCTATCCCCGATCATTGAAAATTTGATGATCCTAACTTGCCCACTTAGAACAAGTCACAAATAAGACTTTTTAACTTAAACTTTATTCTCAGTTTTTTCGATTTGAGTGTTAAGCTCGGTCATAATTTAAGAATCTGTGATATGAGCGGACCATAAATGGTAATTTTTAATTCATAAACTCGTTCAATCCAATGTAGCCATCTAATCTATGACCCAACCCAAAGATCCCGTTACTGGACATTTCTAACCATGGATTAAGGCGTTACTCAAGATCAAGAAGGATCAATTAGGAGGGGGAGTAAAGCTATGCCATACCTAGATGAAGGAAATGTTTCAACATATTGGTTGGCAAAAGCTAAAACCCCCAAATCCACTCCTCAAATGACAGAGTAGGGATAGATATGCTCTTTAAAATTTTTTTTTTAAAAAAAAAGTATAAATTATCCTTCTAAATTATTAATCAAAATAAATCACACATTATTTAATGTGTGACATTATTACACAAAAAATTTATAACATATGATAATATCACATGTTAAATAATAGATATTTTATCTTAATCAGTCTTGATTGATAATTTAAAATAAAAATTTGCCCTAACATTTTTTTAAGGAGCAGATTTATTCTTAATTTCCTATTTAAGAGTCGGATTTGGGGTTTACTGTTGGCAAAATGGGGTCACAATCAACCTATTGTTCTGCATCACACTTCTCCTTGCTGATCAATTGACGGAGTGTATTTTTATAGATTTATTTTGGTAGTATTCTTGCATAGATGAGTACTTGTTTGATACCCCATTTACCCAAAAAAATTTTGAATCTCTCCATGTTGAGGATGTTGGAGAGACGATAGGTAGAAGAAACCCAATTTAACTTGCCATTCTGGGCTCAATCCAGCAACCTTCTTCTAGCCCCTACCAATCTGACCCAACTTAACAAATAAGGTCCAAAATCCAAATGTCCTCTTCATCCACAACCACAACCACAACCACAACCTGTCTTTAAAGCCACTCTCCTCATTTCTAGGAGGTTCCTTAAGTCCATCCCATTCCTAATCCTAAGCTCATTGATTCGAATGTAAAAGGAATATAATCAAACTACATTGCAGCATACCTTCATAATATCCAAAAATGAATATTGATTTCGGTGGATGTGGACATGTCAATGAGATTTTCTTTGCTGTCAATATCTTAATTTAGACCATTGCACGCGCACAATGAGTCAATGCATCGCTTGTCCATGCCTTGTTGTCAAACCCTTTCGACCCAAATCCGCGTACACGGTTGGACCCAATGACATGGACATTTCCTAAGCATGTATGTGCTCATGCTTGATAGCATATTTGTTAGACTTTATGCACAAAGTGAATGTCTTTTTATCTCAAAAGTCGTAAAATATATCAACTATTCATAATAAAGAAATAAATGAATACGATTATGTATAAATAATATAAATGTTGTGTTTAAGTGAATTCTAATTCATCATTGTATGATATGCAATACACACTTTTTCTTTAACTATGGCTTAACTTAACATGAATTATTTAGCTTGATAATTTCTAAATGGTTAAATGTAAATTTTGGTCTCTAAACTTTAAACTTTACATTTCTTTTGTTCCTTGCATTTTTTATGCACTAATTTAGTTATGAACACACATTAACTTCATTGTCTAAATATAGATTGATTTTAGAACTGGATGAGACTTCCATTGTAACTAGAGTCAATCTATAGTTGCTGGTCTTTTTCTAATTTGTTAGCTGTCAGTTCTTAGTTCTAGTGGTTAGCTTTGGCTTAATCATTTTTTTACAAAACAATATAACATGGAGATGGACAGAATTTGTCTCAATAGCTGAATGGCACTTTTGAGAGGAGTGAGGTGAGAATTTATATAGTCCATGTTACTCAAGTTCTGTTTGGAGGCTCAATGAGCCACTTCCGAAAGACTAATTATAAATTTGTCACCTTCCATGCATTAAAAAAAAAAGAGTAAAGGAACAATTAAATTAGCACGGGGGAAATTAAAAAGTGAAAAGTTTAAAGTTCATGAATAAAATTAGCATTTACCCTTTCTAAACATGAAAGATGTTTTTGTTTGTGTTTAAGAATTATATCCTGACAAAATAGAGGAGTTTGATTTAGTGTGCTTGCTTAAAGCTTTCTTCAACACGGAGTTTGCTACTCTAAGTCAAATAGATGGTAAGATGGATTCTAATCCCTATTATATGTGTTAAGATATTATGGTGTTGAATGTGCTGTGATAATGTAATTAATACTCGAGATAAAGAGGATAGCTAGTATTTACAATTTCTTTGCTAGTTGCTCTTTACAAGTTGTATCTATTATTCGGACTACTTTGTTCTATAGAGATTTATCAATTGTAGCATATGGGAATCATAGACTACTAGGTTGCCTTTATATTGAGGTAAAGATTGCATGCTTTATCTCTTTTCTTAAAGGCTATGACTATTGTTTCTATTTTTTTAAAAAAATCTAATTGCCCTACCACATACTTATTTTTTTAATATATTAAGAATTATAAAGCTATTTAATATCACAAAAGTTTAATCCGAGACATTGACCTAAATTAAAGTTTTTATGTTATGAATATATATCAATTAAGTCAAACTCTTATTAATTCATCTAGACTCATACATAATTAAATGGGATTGAGGAAAAGTAAGACATATTGGCAATTAAAATATCAGGAATGATAATAAAAAATTAAAATACTTTTAATAAATCAACAGACATGAAAAATTATTAAGGTTGTTTGAACAATTTCACAAAAAGTCTTAATATTTAAAATGACAAAATGTCTTAATTTTCACTTTCTTCTAATTAAATATATAAAAACTAATTTTAAATATTTGGATCTTAAACTCTTATAAGTTTAAACACACTTGCCCGCAACTTCTTATATAGGAGATATTAATTCATAAAAAGCCTAGCATTAATCCAAACTTTTGACCTTCATGCCATGTATTTTGGGGAATTTCTTTTTAAGTAAAGAACATGAACCTTCACAAAGGGCATGAATTTTAGGTAACCCTCATCCCCATAATTTTGAAATGAATTATTATTAAATGCATTTCATACAAACAATATTAACATCTTTCCATATATTAACGCCTCAGCAATACTCTTGTTTGCAATTTAAAATTCCCTACAAAAAAGGCACTAATAATATACCAATAATTTATTTATATAATTCTTTTTTTTTTTTAAATAAATTTGCAAGTGGCCGAATTTAAACTGTCTAGAGAAAGGGGGAGTACACTTAACGGGTGGTCTAAAGCCACTAGGCGGCCCAAGTGCATTCATATAATTCTTATTTAAATCATTTATATGTCATTATATTAATAAATATATATAATATTACAAATAAAAAATTAATTATTAAATAAGATATAAAATTGTATAAAAAATTATTTCTTAATCATTTTCGATACAAGAAAGTGTTGCAACCAATAAATTAATTATTTCCTAAGGCATATTTGCCGCATTTGAATGTAGATGCTTCACAACAAAATATCTACTCTAATTAATTGAAGATTTTATCTAACATGTACTTTAAGACACATGTTAAATCTTATTAATTAAATATCTATAATTAATTTTATATAAATTTTTAAACTAGATTTATATCTTTTTGTAGCTTTCTATTACAAAAATTATATTTTATTTTTATTTTATTTTATATTTCATATTTTATTTTAATTGAATCTTGTATAAAAAATTATACAAAATTAATTACAAATATCATAATTAATTATACTTAACGTGTATCCTTAGAACAAGTTAGAAAATCTCTTAATTAAAACAATAAATTTGGATCTTTAATCTCTTCCTGAAACAAAATTATTAATACGGGTCTTTATGAAATTAATGTAGCCTAAAGCCAAGAGCACATATAGCCCTTGAGCCTTTTTCTCCAGTGGAAAAGTATAATTTTAGCTGAATGACGTTATATTTTTTATTTACTTTATTTTTTTGCTTTACATTACGATTTTATTTGAGAACAGTATATGGTATTGTAGATTTTATTTACTATTTTAAAAAATATAAAATATTATTTAAAATAAATATTAAATATATCATATATTTTTTAAATATTAAAAAACTACAAGACCTACAACTATAACCCAGCATTCTCAAACACAACCTATATCTCGTTTTCCTCCTTCCCCGCGTCACACATGT